CACTTTGATGTTCTTCCTCCGCTCTGTGAAGCCCGAAGTCGACTGATGGGCTAAGGATAACTTTCAAAACGTCTGCCGCTTGAAAAATATCAAATGGCAAGCTTTATGGTAGTTATCATTAGTACTAAAGATGACTTCATACTTCACAGAAGGATGGAAAACTGAAAAGCACAGTCCTTAATTAGATTTTATGTTCTGCAGACATTATTCCTCTTTGATGCAATGTAAAAAGCTAATTTGAATTTTGAATTTTTGATCGAGGAGATCAAAACCGTTTTGTAAATTTGGACAAAAATTGTAATATTATAATACATCACAATATTAATTACTCATATTAATATTTGCTATCCTCAATAATTGCAGAAACCGGTATTGTATACATAATTTTGTTACAAAAGAGAGTGTCTACAATCTAATGAGATTGTATAAATGGTAACAAATTTTCATTGAAATGAGGAAAAGCAATCAAAATTCGATTACACCCACTTTAATTACACTCTTTGTCTAATTAAATATTCTCGACTCACCACAAATTAAGATAACTAGAATAGAATAACAATCATTAATATTTTAGGAATTATTATCATTTGTTTTGACGAGAAATAACAGAGGTTATTATATTCAAAATTAATTGATATGAGTAAGATGAATCAATTCATAAATAGATTAAATATGCTTCGCAGGTATTTGGAAAGAATATATTAGAAGTTAAAATAAAATTTATGAAGCATATGAAGAATTTGTGTAATGTTCATCGATCTTTTTACCAATGGATCTCTTTTGCAGTTCTTTTTGCTTTAAAATGATTCATCGACCTACTTGAAACAACATAATTCAAACTTGATTGGAGGAAAAAATGGTTGAAGGGGGCAATTACATTCGAAGCCAATTGTCTTCATTGAGATTGGACAATGTCAAATGGAAAGAGTTGGACACTAACAATTTTCACGTGCCTTGATTATCTTTGTTTGTCAATTTTAAATCCAAACTTAATGAATATATAGGTAAAGAAATATATTTAAAGGCCTAAGTATATATTAATAAGTTAAAACCATGTTTAATTGTCCAATAGCACTGAGAATCTCTCTTAAAAATTTAAATGAAAGAACTTAATGAACCATTAGTAATTTAAAAATACCACCGAAGTAATTTCAATTTCATTCATTTAAAGGAACATTCATTTGGACGAGCAAAATTGACTGTTAATGCATCGGTAATTTTTGACCAAAAAATAATCGCTCTGTAACTGCTGATTGTTTATTATAGAGAGAATAATTGAATACATTGATGAAAAGAAGATTGGGACACACTTTTTTAACTGGTTTTACTATCTCACTTCGCTTAAAATAATCTTTCTGCTTTAATTAACAAAGTTGGAACGGGTCTTTGACAAGGTTAATTTGGGCGATTCAATTCAATTTTTAAAAAAAAACTTGGTTTTCATTCGCCCTCAATATTTTAATACTAACAAAAATTTAAAAGTCCATTTTACAAGCATGCACAATTTATGCCATAGTGTAATGATTGTTAGCAAGTTGAGTAAAAAAACCACTGATTTAAAAGAGGTATGAAAACTAACGTTCAAACTGTTTGGTTTTTATTTACTTTAAAAATTACAAATCTAAATAGAGGATATGTTTTGTACACATTTGTTGTAATCACTATTGAGATACTAATTAAATTTATCTGAAAAATGGTTCAATAAAATGTCTCACCCTTTTTGCGAATGATGCTCTTTTTATGGCCTTATCAATAAGATAGTCAGATCAGATAAATAACCTCTCTAAAAGGTGGATAATTGGCAAGTGACGTGAAGAAGACTGATTAAATAAACAAGGAGTTAAATATATTTTATGAATTTGGATCATTTTGATTTTTTTGTAGACGTCGTAATTTCTTTTACAATTATTGTGCAATATGTGCATATATGAAAAAATCGTTTCTACATAGCATCAAGTCATTTCTAAATGAACATTTGTTGGGGATAAAAAAATTATTCAATTTAAAAGGTTTTAATCAAACTCCGAAATATGGGCTAAAGATAAAACCATAATTTTGAATCAGTAGAAAAATAGAAAATTGGGACTTCCAGTGATTGTTTAATCCTCCATGGATCAATTGAAATGATGTGAAGAAAGACACAAGTAGCAGTTTGCATATTCTCATCAACAGATTGATTTATATGTATGTGTGTTTATCCCCAAATGAATCCATTAAACTTTGTAGTCTTAATACAAAAACTCAAGCTAAGGACGCTGAAACTGAAGGCAATTGAGTTGGCTAAAGATCAGCAACGTTTTTCATTCTTTACATCACATTAATGCAAGTGTACTAATCTTTTCAAGCGTATGAATATCACGACGTTTTAACTGTTTGATTTAGAACATTTGCTAAATTATTTTAAAAAATTTCTTTCAAACAATATAAACAAATTCTTATATACCCTTTCGAGGAGAAATTAACTTCATATTCATTAAAGAATGATTTTTTGATGATTGCAATTATTATTCAGATTAGGCGGATAGATCGAAATCGACAAAATAACTGCAATTTTTGAATGAATTATTTGGAATTGCCATTTAAAATTTTAATTTGAAGAAAAAATAATCTATTTAAGAACTGGCACATTCATTTAATAGCTATCTAACTAGATGAAAAATTAAACCTGCTCATCTACCGACATTGATAATAAATGCTTTGTGTAGATGCGCGTATTTGCCTAATTTGATTAATTATTGGCTTTTGTACTATATCTGCAAACTTGACTATTGTGTCTGAAAGAAAAAACGAATTTTGTACAAAAATATTACTATTCTAACACATCAAAGTTTCGTTATATTTTTCAGACACATATATGGTCTCAAGATTTAAACAGTATCTACAAAACTTTTAATTTCCTGAAAATTCATCTTTTTACTCAATAAGAACACACCTATAAAATTTATCTTCAAATACAATAAACGAAAGTGTGGAAAATTGTTTCCAAAGCATGAATTTTTAATGAATTAAGGAAACATAAGTTTGGTTGAATTAGGTTTTGCCAACTTAAATTTCAACCTTCTTTTTTTATGAAATGCATTCCTTTTTGAACCAATTTAGTGCTTTGCTCAGTGTTAATTACATTAAATTGAACTAAAAAATACGGTATATTCTTTTAAACATTGATTGAATAATTTCATAAAAAAACATTTAAAGCTGTCATTAACATTTCCCAAAGCATATATATATATATATATATATATATATATATGGGCAACGTTTGCTTTAGCTTGCCTTTGCGAACTATATATATTTGGACCTCCAAATTCACCACTTTTTCATAAATGTGAAAACCGAATAGAACAACCTGATTATATGAAGAAATGGGAAGTTAAAGCCGTATAGACATCATTAGATAGATTAATTAAAGAGTAAGATAGGCGAGTTAATTTATTCAATTTGCAGGGAGATGAGCAATGAAAATCGATATACAAAGAGAAAATCCTGGGAGTATGGAGATCAGTTTGATTAGGAAATGCATGGGATGTGGATAAAGGCTTTATTACCGATTAAATGAATACATCTGTGATAATCTTTCATCCATTGATCGTGGACCCATTCAGCGTCCTAATCGACCAGCTGTCAGAAAACCCTTCTTGCGTCGGCCAAGACGGGAGCTAGTGAGGAAACCTCGACGATCTACAAAGAAGGGACCTTCAAGGTCGTCCAAGTCATACATTTCTTCCAGACCAACTTCTGCTTCTGGAATGATGCGATTTGCTACCACTGGTTGGTAGAGCAGAGTGAGCAGAGCTACTGCTATCGCGATGACGATAATTAGACGTGAAGAGTTCATCACTTCAATCTCGTATGTCCAACTAAAACCATGTTCACCTTTCTTCGCAATATATTTGCTCATGGGGTGAGCGCCGACCAATTAAAAGGTGCTTGGACGAAGAGAATCAATCTCATTTCCCATTTCGTTTTTGGAGCGCTTTTATTGGTCAAATGCAATTTCGCTTATTCATTGGTTATGCATTCATTATGGGTTATCGAAATGGCATTTTTTAATAATAATTTTTCAATGTGAGCTAAATTTACTGACAATATTTCATGAACAACATTAAACTCAAGACTTTATATGCTTTTGGTAATTTTTAAGATTTCAAGGAAAGGACAATAGCGATTGCTATATTGTGACATTTAACGATATTTATGCGTTCTACATTTATTGCCTTAAATTCTCTTGTTTCTAAATAAACGCTTTAAGTATTCCTTTAAGCTTGATTATTTCTGCGTGTTTTTCGTAGAATATACTCATTTTTCTTAACCGTTTCCATGTCAACATCCCTCTCCTCCATCGCACACCCAATTCACCCTATCATAAAGCCTGCGTTAAAAAAAGACCATGAAACTTCTTTCTTACCAAAATAATTATTTCGAAGCTTTCGCAATAAAAAACAAGAAATCTTTTAGTTATTTAAAATGAGAATATTAAGTCCGCTTCTAGGCGTATAATTTTACACTTAATTGAAATTCATCCAATGTTGAGACTTTTGCTAGATCGCATTAGTAAAGATCTGTAAAATCCATCTCACACGTGAAGGTGCTTTAAAGTACTCTACTTTTAACCAACAATATGGTAATAAAGTTGATTTTACCTCTAGGTAATAATTTTAGCAATTTTAAATTCATATAACTTCCACCATTTTTCTTTGAGAACTGTAAAATGAATTATCTAATTATGAATGTTTTTTAATGGTTTATTCCTGATGAAATAAGTATTTAATGGTATTTTATTTGATTGCTTTCTCCAGATTAAGATATCGACTTGAAGCAGGTGAAATGGCCTTGATCAATTATTAAATCTTTGACAATATTATGTCAAAACAAAAAGATGAAAAATTGTTCTGAATGTGATTTAATTATACTTTTTATTCACTGATCAGCTTCATTTTGGTCTCTCCTATTTTTCTCATCTCTTCGTTTCTTTAGTACAAAATTTAATCATAATTCTTATTCTTTGGTTATTTACTTTTTAGTTAACGTTATCTGAGCCATAGACGTAAATAAATTATTTTATTTGTTTGTGCTGATACCATACTCGCGAATTTTTTGCGCGCCTGGATAAATTGATCCACTTGGTGCGGTATCTTCTTTAATAATTGACTTCTAAAATTTTAATTCAAATTTCAACGTATTAAAAATTGAGAATACCAAAGTAGTGCTAATTCATATGTTAATTATTTAATTTATTTCTTTACTGTAATTCAACTATTATTTGGGCAGCTATATTATTATCTAAGGTAAAATGGTAATATTGAAATCATTGTTTAACTCTTCATGAACAAGCTGAGATCAATTAATGGAAAGTTCTAAAAGTAGAAGGGAACCGGGGGATGGGGATCAAGGTGCAAGAAGTCTTGCCTGAAATAATTTTTGGATTTAGATTGAATAATACTTGGTAAAAGGGGCACGACTCTTTCATACCTATGATCTCGTAATCCACTTAAGTTGGCAAGGTTTTTGTCAATAGTGCTCAGTTTATAGAAACCGGTTTTATGCATGATTATCTTTCAGGATATTTTAACTAACATTTTCCTGTGCAGTTGATCACGTTGGCTTTAAGCAAGCTCCAATTAATTGGATACGATTTTTTAATAATTTACCTTATTTCAAGCACAAAATTTCTCTTTCAGTTGCCAAGTAATTTCGATCGACCTAATTAATTTTTCATATATCCAGTTTCTTCCTGATTGACAGAAAATAATTTCCATCCAGTTATTCAAAAGATTATTAATTTCGCTTAAAATTGAGTTCAAATAAGTTAATCAGCTTACTTCTTCTCAAACAGGTGTCCATAGATGAAAGATTATGAAAGATCAAGAATTTACAAATTAAAATAGTTTACAGGTTTGAAATATTTGAAACTAAGTAAAAGAAAATAGAAGAAAGTTAGCAAATATAATCTTCAAAACCTGCAGATTGAATGATTTCTGTGTTAAATTGTGACATAATTTTTCTGTATAAATATATTTGATCATTTGGCAACTAGTTAACCTTCTGCCCGCGGAGACTG